CTAAAAGTAATCATTTTCAATAAACAAAACAAAAAAAAAAGAAAAAATTGAAAGTGATAAAAAACTTCTACTTCATTTTCCTACAAAATATTCGTCTTTGCTTTTTTCTGTTTTTTTTCCTGACTGAAGTGTTATTCGATGTTGAAAGTTTTAAGTATGTATTGTGGTTCTTATTTCATTCAAGAACTACAAAAATAAAAAAAAACAAAATAATAAAAATATTTTAATTGAAGTCTACCTTTTTTTTCGGTTTTTAATGCAAAAATAAAGAATTTCTTATGCACAAACTTGTACTATTAAATTTTATTGAATAAAGACAATGGAAGATAAGAAATTATAAACTGTTTCACCGATTTTATTAATTTAAATTTATTTTGAATATTAACAGTACAAATATTAGAAATTTAAGAAAATTAAAAAAAAAATTGCATACCTCAGGGGCCATATTAGATTTTGTTCATAATTTTGATAGTTTCGCCGCTAACATACAAAAAAATTTTATTATAAAGTTTTATTCAGCATTTTATTCAGCACTCAAAAATTTTTATTATAAAATTGAAATTCAGCAACTTTAAACATTAACAGTAATAAAATATTAAAAATTTAATAAAATTTAAAAAAAATTGCATACCTCACGGGGCATATTCATCTCTATTCATAATAAATTTAACAAAATAACAACTTATTGTTGACAAACGAAATTAGAAAGTCAAAAAATCTAAAAGATTGCAAAGTTCTTTATACTTTGACCTTATAAAATTCTTTTAGTCACTTAAAATGCTTAATAACAATTGCATATTTCAAGAATTAAAACACATAAATCTAAAGTAACTTGATAAATTTGAATGAGTAATGCTAAAGAATTTTCTTTTAGAAATTCAGAAGTGCATTTATTAGGAACAGCAATAGAAATTTGAGACTTGTTAAACTTAAAAATTTGAATGGAAAAAAAGTTCATCAGCAGGAAATGTTCACGAATGAAACTTTTAAGAAAATTTTTTCCACCTTGCATATTTTCTGAAAATTTAAAGATTTTATTTTCTTTTCTTTCATTTTTTCTATAATAGAATAAAAAAATTTCAAAACTATTTTTTAACCTTTAACAAAAAATTTATTAGGAACTTCATGTCAAGGACAAAACATTTTTTACTCATTCGTGTTTGTTTTTCTTAAAACGTTAAATAAAGAAAACCCTCTTCTGAGGTTTAAAAGATTTTTGATAAAAGAAAAAATTTTCACATCTGAAAAATAATAAAAAGAAGCAAGGAATAAGAAAATCAGGTATTTTTTTTGTTTTTAATTTAAAAAAAACTACTCCATAAAAAATTAATTAGTCGTTTTTGTGTGTGTGTTTGTCGTCGACGTTAAAAAGAAATTTTTTTGTTTTAGATTTAATTAAAGGAAATTTCTTTAAACATTTCAATTGATCGCTTGAAACAACAAATTTTTTTTTAATCTTTATCAAAAATTAAAATATTGTATAAAAAAATTTAACGACCCCACTAATTTTTAAATTGTGAATATAATAAGCAGATTATGCAATCAGGGCCGGATCTACCTTATATGCAAAATAAGCATTTGCAATGGGCGCTGGAAAACAAGGCGCTATTGAAAACTTTTTGAAAAAAAATTATTTTAATAATTTTTCTTTCTAACAAAAAGATGATACCACGCTTTAATTCTATAGCTAATCTCGTATTCAGCATGCTAAATTATTATGCGCAATTTTCAATATTTATTGCATAATTTGAAAGTAGTAAGGAGTGCGAACTAAATGTAGTCATAGAAGGTGTACAAGTGCAAACACAGGTATAACTTAGAATTTTAAAGAAAAATTTGAAATTAAAAATATTAAAATTACTTAATAATCACGTTTACGTGCATTCCAAAAGAATTGAAAATGAAAATCGAGGGGCGAGACCAAGTATTAATTAAGCCAAGCATTAATTATCATGCAAATTGCAAATTCATTAAGCGAAAGAGCCAAAAACAATCATCATTTGCAATCATCAATTGTTGCATTTTAAATAAATTAACAAAATATAAAAGGTCTGGCAATTTAGAGAATCATCATTTATAAGCATTGCCAAACCTTTTATATTTTTGTTAATTTATTTAAAATGTAACAATTGAAATCAAAGATCTTTAAGTCTTTTACAAATAATTTTATTTATTAAGGAAGAAGGTACTACATTTATAATAATTTCTTCTCCTCTTTGTTCCTTTCCCTGTAATTTGCAATTTCAAAGAATTAATATTAAAAGAAAGGATTAAAATAATGACAATAAAATATTACATTGTACCGTTTAAAACCTTCCATATTCTGAAATAATAATATTTTCATTTCGAATAATAGGATTACAAAATATTTTCCATATTAATAACAAGGAAACAAAAATATTCTATGAATTTTTAGTTATAAATTCTAAAATAATAAAATTTTTCAGTTAATATATTAGAATCTAGTTGGTAGGTAACTAAAAATTCATGCATGTATAAGTATAATAATAATATTATATACAGAGTGTTTCACCAAAGGTAGAGGGCGGTTCATATATATTTGTTTTCGAGCTACAGCCTGTGTGAAATTCGCATTATCAAATTGATTGTAAGAACGAAATTAGATTTAGAGGGTTGTTCTATGTTGTATACTTCCGAAGTTATATGGATTTATTTTATATGCTAGAAAGATCTGGTACCTTTTTTTCAACAGACTAAAGCCCCTCTCCTCCTCCCTGCCATAAATTTTTTAGTTGGAAATTAATCATTTATCAAATTATTTGACACATTACACGAAACACCCAGTATATTATATAGAGCAGAAAATCATGCAATCCCTTATACAGGAGGCAATATAATGTAATAAATATTTTTTTCAGGAGTTTGGTAAATCTGGATTGATAATAGTAATTTTTTGATGAATTTTCGTGTATTTGTTCATTTTCATTAACACTTCCATTCTAAAGAAATAACAATTATTCAATAAAAAAAAATTTCCAAATGACTCGAATTCATTGTGTAAGAGTCATTAAAATTTTAATGATTAAAAAAATATTAGAGGAACAAATCAATCCAAATTCATTAATATTAAAAACCTTTGAAAAAATTAATTGAAATTAGATCTCCTTTCAAAATTCCATCATCAAGATCTTATTAAAAAATAAAATAAAATTTTTGATTTTAATTAAAAAATATCATTTGCCTTTCTTTTATTTCTAGCTATTTAGTTAATTAGCTTTAATGATTGTAATATTCGTAATTGAAAATTAATCCCTCTCCTGATTCTTACAAGAAAATGTAATTAAAATTTTGTGTAAACAATTATTATTACAATGCTCCTCAAAAGAAAAAGACTATTTAAATTTTTTTCCGGTATGAAATTCAAGTGAAATTTTAAAATTTAATTGGAGTTCTATTTAAAAAAGCATAAATAAATTGGAAACTTATGGCGACTCATATTCTCATTAAGTCTTCAATATTTTTGAATCAAGAATATTATTTGTAAAACTGTTATACATTTTTGCATTCATAAAGTATTGTAAATTCATCTCTTTATTGAAAGTAATTTTCTACTAAAAGAGATTATGCCAATTATTTTCATCAAAGTATTTTCTATTTTTGATTTTAATTTGAGTTTCTAAGTTTTCGTAAATATTTCGTGGCTTTTGTAGTTCTTGGAAATTTAATAAAATTTCAAATTCACGAATATAAAAGTGATAAAATAGTAAAAGCTACATTTCAATAGTTTTACACTAGGGCCTCGATTTACGTTCAGGTTACGTTTAAAAAATTGAGGGGCGTAATTCGAACAAAATTCGAACCGTTATTAAATTATATGTAAAATGGAACTATTATTTGTAATACTAGATCACATCCTATAAGAAACATAATACTATAACTGACATTTTATTGAATTAAATGTAATTTAATATTGTACTTTGGCAAGAGTTTTTAATAATTGTACAATCTTAAGATGATTGCATTCCTATATAATTTTGCTAGTTTGTTTAAATATTGAATTCTAAGTGGATGTATATCAGGAATAAGGATACAAAACAGAACAATTAATCTGAAAATTAATGATGTAAAGAGGATAAAATGGAATGATTTAATTCGAGGCCCGCGTGTAGTTGTACTTCCAATTTTAATGTTTAAGTAGTCCAACAATAATAATCAAAAATTTCTCTTAGCATATTTGTGCTAAACTAAAAGAGTAGTGATTTTCACGTAAGGTAGCAAAATATACGTTGAATGTGAATGAAATATGAAAACCATTTACTTACATTAAGGTTAAAATTAGAGCTCCGAATTATTTACATAAGGTGTTGTGCGACTCCTTGCTATAGTTAGGGAAATTTATGACAATTAATTGCCATTCTTAAATTAATAAAAATTTTAAAAAATCTAAGAAATTTCAATTATACTTGCCATGTACTAGTATTTTTGTGAAATATTTTTTAACATAAAAATTTTAACAGTGTTTTGAAACTAATTTCCCCATAATTACTCTATATTATTCTCCGCTTTACTACTGGTAAGTACAATTTCGTCTGGTCTAAAAATTTTGTACTTATGGTCCTTACAATTTTTCTTTTTAAATTTTATATAAATATAATTCGTACAGCATAGTTCTGCAGCATTTTATAGATTATAGCGCAGCACCATTTCAATTCTGCTTATATTTCAAATTGAATAATGTAAATTTGAAAATTACACCTAATTTCTATAAAACACGCTCTCGTTTTGGACTTAACAATTTTTAAAATTCCTGATTTATTTTCGGAACTTATGAAAACAAAATAATTTTTATTTTCTTTATTCAATCCTTATCATCAATTCATTCAAGAACACTTAATACAAATACAACAATAAAAAAGGTTTTCTTACTTTCAATTCATTTTTAAAATAATAATAATCTATCCTTATTATCCTTACGAAATTTTTTTTAATAATTTTATTAATTTAATTTTAATTTTTCTATATATTTATTTTTTTTGCAGGTTGAACTTTTATGCCCAGTTAATTCAGGTGATCCATTAGATTATATAAAGAACGGTATGAGCCTTTGGGATAGTACATCATTAGAACCAATTAATCAGGAATTGTTACAATCTAGGCAAATACAAATTGAAAATAAATTCATATCAGTACAGTGGATATTAAAATGTGAATGCAGTTCACAGGTAATATAAAAATTAATAAAAAATGAATAAATTAAAAAAATTTTGAAAATATTTTGTATTAAGAGGCACAGGGCAGCCAATAATTTACTTGAACGTCGTAGCCATTATGAAAATTTTTTTCAAATTAATGAAATTTTGTTCTGCGTAAAACAAAACCTTGGAAATTGGCAATACAGTCAAAAAAAAATTTGTATGTAATATCGAAAATAAAATTCAATTTCTGTGTAATTAAAATGGATAGCCAATATTTATTCATCCTATTGGATTTGTATGAATTCAAAATATTAAAATTAGTTAGAAATATTCGAAAAAATTCAATTAATTAATAAATTTTTATACAGTAAATATTTAACAAGTGATATTTTGATCCATGCGTCACTTTCATGGCTTTTGAATTAAGAAGATTTTAACAAGTTTTCCAGAACGATCTTTGCGAATAATGCAATCTAATTTTCGCTATCTCATTTAATTTTATAGATATATTTTGATCTATATCTAAAATCTTCGACGTATTGATCAAATTTTCATACAATTTTTTAGTTACTATAATAATTTTTAAAGAAAAACGTGAATAACGACCAAAATCGCTCCGGACCTTTTCTAATTACCTTGCTATAACTCGCCATTCTTTTATCGAAATCGAAACAAATTGTAGGCCGAAACCCCTAAAACTATAATAAAAATAACTAATAAAAATTTAAGAAACCTCAACGTTTAGTTTTGAACTAAAATGATGTTAAATTTTAAACGTGAACTCAACAGACGATTTGATTAATTAATATTGTTTCGATCGAAACACTACTAATATTTTGAATAATATTCAAAATCTGAATTAAAAATAATTCACACATGTTCCACATGCAATTTTTAATAAGCTCTAATAAAATTCTTCTAACAAATTATTTCTTAATTAAGAATTGAATACAATTATAAATAAATTTTCCAAAATAACCCATATGCATATAAATAAAGATAATAATTGTAATAATGAAAATATTTTTGTTAAAATTAAAAATTATTGAGCCCATAAATGTTAGAATCCTTTTTTGTATTGCAGGAAAAGCTAAAACAGAAATTCATTTTATGAACAATAAATTTATAATGTAGCAATGCAAATATAATTGTGTAGAAAATGAAAAGTCTAAAATTTTCATAATTTTTAAATGTAATTTTTATATTAATGGATGGTGGGTTTTCTAAATTTTTAGATATATAAAAACAAAAATTTTTATTTCTACGTGAAAATTTTATTAAAAAAAGTATTTTCTATATAAAAATTAATAATTATAGTAGGATCGAGTAGGATCCTTTTACAAAGGAACAAAATTATTAATAATATTCGAATTATTTTATTGAAATATTCGGGATGAAAAGGATGACAAGGACATAAATTAATAATGAATTCTATACTTGGTTTTCAGGCAATTTCACTGCTTCATTTTAGATGAAAATTTTGTAAATTTTTAAATTTTTGTAGCAATAGTTGAATTATGGTACCTTGATTTAGATTTTAGATGAAAATACTTGAATATTTTTTGAAATAGAATGATACCATTTATTGTAAGGTGACTCCTCCCGTCGTCTAATCGAAAAAATTATTTTGGAAATAATAAAAGTTATTTAGAAATTTAGAATACAGTATACTAAATTTGCCTTACCGTTTATAACACAAAGAAATAATGGCCTGAGATATTGACTCAAGTGTATGTTGTTGATCAGCATCGATTCTAAGTCTGTCCGTTCCAATGATAACTCAAAAACTAAATGAAATAAATTCACTAAATTTTCACATATGATTTGTAATAATAAATGCCAGAATCCTATATTTAAATTGAATGTGATGGCCGCAATGGTTCGGACAGCTGCCTTACAACTTTTAAAATTATTAATTGGCTATATTTCAAAAGTTATTGAAATTTTAATATAGAAATTTCACACAAACAAATATTTTATTATGGCTGCTTTATAATTGTTAAAACTTCTTAGAATTCCTAGAATTGCGGTAATGGCTGCCATATTCAACTTCGAACTTTATTTGGTGATATATTATTATGGGAACTACTGAAATTACAGTACTGAAATTTTGCACAAAACTAATTAAAACCGCGAGGACGTATGGAGGACGTATGGAACATTGTGGCAACCAGCACACAGCACTCAAAATCACTAACTCGTACAGTTATCATATAGTCGATAAGTTCAACATTTCCCTTTCTCGTTTTTAAATACTTTTGTCTAAATATACGCTGTCAGGTCAGTAACACTTAAACACCAAAGTTGTGCATATAATGTTCGAAACATGCAGTTAGCACAGTGTTTATAATTTTAACTTCTTCCCAGTAGCAATGATCACCATATATTCCTGAAATTCCAGATACAATATACAATTTACAGATTATTGCTTTTTCTAAGTACAACAAATCCCTTGACTTCTTAATTACAGTAATACGGTATTAAAACACAATTCAGCTGATAAGTTTGAATTGCTGAATTGTGTATTAAAACACAATTCAGCTGATAAGTTTGAATTGCTGAATTGTGTATTAATACCGTATTACTGAATTTTAGAAGTCAAGGATCCAGATGGATTTTAATTTTTTTAAGGAAACCTCAGAATTTCTCTCTCTAGTTCCAAATCAACAAATTAGACTATATGTTCCTTACAATCCAATTACTGTTAAAGTTGAAAAGTTCATTTTTTAAATAGACAATTAATAAAATGGATAATTTATTTCAATAATAAATTATAAAACCAATTCCGAAAATTAAAAATACAATATTTAATTTAATAGAAGCTTAAAAACAAATGCGTTTCTCTTTAAATTTCGTTCTGTAAAACAACAATTTCTTTAATAATTCCTTAAAGACTCATTTATTTTCGATTTTCTTTTTTTGCAAAATCAACTCTCAATTACTGTTGTTGTTCTTGTTTTTCCTGTTTTTTCTTCAGTCTTAAGAATGTTATTTTTCAATTTACTGATTGTTATAATAAATCAAATGAAATTCTTCAATTTACAATCTTGAAAAAATCTACGTTGTTGTCCTTATGATGAAAATTAAAATGCAAAAGAAAAAAAAAAATGGAAAGGCAAATAAGGACAAAACAAAAAAACATCATTCAATTTTCTATTTTCTCTGTGATTTTAATTTGAATTTTCATCTTGTTACTTTTGTTTTTTTGTCTTCTCAATTTTATTATCTAAATTTAATTTTCAAAATGTTTAAATGTAGAAATATGACAGTGGCTCTTAACATTAATTTGAAAACGAACTTAGAGAGTTAGAAGAAATTTTTTCATTAAAAATTGTAAGGCTGCCGTCATTGTGTTGTTGCACAGATTTTTTGTGTTGAATATTAATTATTATCTAAATTAATTAACACGAGAATTAGTAGAGTTGATTATTTTAGTACTGTCATGCCGATACAAGTATACGATTATAGGAATTGTATAATAGATTTCATTGTGTTTTAGAATTTATGCTATAGTAAATATTTTAAATTGTCTTCATGGTGTTGACTTTAGCTCTATAAATTAGCCCAAGAATGATATCCAAGTTAAATAAGTCTTAGGGGTTTACTATTTTTATTAATAATTTCAGTAAAAACTTGTGTTTACCATTGAAAACTATTAAAAGTAATTGAAATTATTAATAGTAGAACACCAGAGCCTTATTTAACTTGGGCCTTATTATTATGAGATTACCATTTATTAAAATATAAAACGTAACTAATGTATTTTACTTTAGTTATCGCTTACCATGCAAAGTCAGACTGACGCAGACAGCTGTATAGAATCTAGATTTGACGCTGGCCAAATATATCATAATTATTTCCACGTTCTTATTTCAGACCATTATTTTATAGCATTAAAAACTTAATCGTCCTTAATAATTTGAAAAAGAAGCTTACCAAATCAAATGATCTCCAAATAATGTAATCAAAATGATCTTAATTTTTTAAAATTATAATTCCAATCCCATATTAAGAATTAAGAATTTTTTAATACTATTTTAAAAATATTAATGATATTTTAGAAATATTTGCCTGGAAACCAATGTACAATTAAAAAAACACCTATATAATTTGAAATATAACATTTAATTTAATTGTTTAAAAAATATAATGCTATATTAAAAATAAAAAAAGTTTAAATATCACTGTTTATTTAATTAAATTATATTTATTTTCTTTTATTTTCTCATCCTCTCTCTCTCTCTCTACATTTTAAATGTTCATTTCATTTGATATACAGCCCGGATATTGCAGTAATAGTAATACAAATAATAGTAATTTATCAATTCCATTAACAACAAATACAATAACAAATTCATCAAAAATGGCAACTACAGTTAAAGAATTAAAAACACCAACAGTTAATAACAACAATAATAGTATTAATAATTATAACAAGAACAACAACAACAACAGCACTAGTAGTAGCACAAATACCAAAAGATTGATAAGTTCATTAACATTATCAAAGGAAAGAAATAAAATAAATAAATATGATGGCAACAATCATAGTAATAATGATATAGATGATAATGATGATAATGATGATAATAATGATTTTAGTAATAGTAATGAAGCTGATACTACTAATAATAATCAAAAGAGAAATCAAGAAACTACCCCAAATCAAATTGAATTTAAAAATAATATAAATTCAAATTATAATAATCAAATTTCAAATAATGATAATAATAATGATAATGATGAAATTTTTGAAAATATCAGTGATAATAATAACAACAATAATAATGACGATGATGATGATGATGATATAGAAAATGATAATGATGATCATAATAATGATAATATAAATGAAAATATTAATACAAGAATTTTACTAGATAATTATAATAAATTTAGTAAATTTAAAAAAATTAATAAAAATAATACTAATAATATATTATATAATAGTATTAATAATTATAATAATAATAATAATAATAATAATGATAATAGTAATAGTATTAATAGTAATCAAAATAATCAAGATAATAATAATAATGATAATAGAATAAAATATAGAAATAATAGACATAATAGATTTAATAAATATATTCGAAAAAAATTTAATTATCAACATTATCATCCTAATCCACATCACCATCAACATCATCACCATCATCATCATAATCATCACCATCAAAATAACCAACATAATAATCAACATCACCACCATCAACACCATAAGCATCATAATCAAAATCATCTACATTATTTACATAATTATCAACATAATAATGATAATAATCAACATTATTTAAATAATTATTCTAATCAAAATCATCCATATCATTATGAGATATTAAAATCATCAGGATATGATATTAATGAATTAACATCAAGTGATGAAGTTCGACATTGGAGAAATCAACAGAAACAGCAAGAAGAACAAGAACAATTAGATTTAAAGGAGTTACGATTACGACAACAAGAAATATTACAACAGCAAACGCAACAACAACAACAACAACAACAACAGCAACAGTCAGAACAACTACAGTCAAAACAACAGTCACAACAAGAAAATCAACAACAAATACAGCAACAATTATTAAAAACGTAACAGGCTAATTAAAAAAAAATATACAAAACAAAAAAAATAAATTAATATTCAACAAACAGTAACAACAACAACAAAAAAAGTAAATAAAACAAAAGAGAAATAATATAACAGAAGTTAGCAGGAGAGAATAACAAAAAATAGAAAATAATAAAACACACAAACATTTATTTTATCATTTTGTATAAGACCCATTGTATATAGATAGAAATTTAATTAAACTATTATTATAATACTATATATATATATGTATATATATACATATATACATAAATATAACAAATATACAACTATACATGTAATAATAAATGAAAAAAAAGAATAAAACTAGCTATATAGAATTAATGAAAGAAAAGAATAGAAAAAAAAGAAACCATTGTAGTTAAAGAGAAAACTTTAGGGATTAAAATAAGGAGACAATTAAAAAATATAAACAATAAATACACATCCATACATACAAAATAAAAAATATGTATACACGGAATTATAAAAACAGTATAACAGAGAGAAAAAAAAATTCATTTAAACACATAATTATTATAAAGTATGAAAATGACATATACAAACATAACGTATATAATAATTATAAAATATAGTTTGTATAGTTTAAGATTAAGTGTACCGAGAATAAGCTCTTTTAAGTAAGGAAAAAGATCAACATGTATATAATGCATAAATTGATATAATTATGCATGTATACAAACACTAATACTTATAAATATACTTATAAATATTGCATATATACACATATATACATAAAAATATTTTAGTTATACAAAATTTTCAGATTTAAGAATTTTGGATATTAAAAAACAAAAAAAAAAAATCATAAAAATAACAGCAAAAAAGTGTTATACAAAAAATATCTTTAAAAAAAATATAACAAAAACTTATCATGGAAATTTAAGGATAATAATATTATTATTATAAATAGAAAATTGGGATAATAATATTGCAGTTAAAGGATATTTATATACACACGCTATATACTGTATAAAAGTATATAGAGGTATTTGTATAAAAGTATGTAAGTATTATGGCATAAAATTATTGATATATAGCTATTATAAGAATATTTCTTTTGGATTTTTTTTTTTTTAATTTATTTTTTTTTTTTTTAAATATATCAATTTTATGATCAATAGTTTCTAATAAGAATAAGTGTTATATATAATATTTTAAAATTTTGAACTGTTATACAAAAGCTAATTTTAATCTTGACCTTTTCCCAATGAGAGCTTTTTCGCACACTTACAAATTTCCTTTATTCAGCTGGTAAGTTATAACGTGAAAAGAAAAAAAATTATATTGACCCTGAAAGTATGCAATTTTTCTTATTTAAATCAAAATAGAAGTTTTAAAGTTAGAATTGTTATTAGCTACGTTATTTTGTTAAGTTCAACTGTTATACTGGAAATTTCCTTATTCTTTTTGCTTATGCATTAACTCTAAGCAATATTTTGCAATAAAAAATTTGGTTCTCCAAGAAATATGCAATTTTCTTAATAATTTTCTTTCTTTCCTTCTTTCTTAGTATTTTCATATTTTTCTGTCATTTTTTCAACATGTTTGCAATTGTTTTTTTTTTTTTGATATTTGAATTTACTCTAAAAGTATATCTTGATATTCCATTTATAACTTTGAAACGTACACACATGTGTGCACTACATTTGAAGCTATTAAGGTTCTGAAGATCTAATAATTATGATAAAACCGCAACATCTTAACATTATTAATTTTTGAAAGCGCAAAATATTCCTCTATACTTTGCCCCCAAATCACATAACGATAAATATCAAAAATTACTGATTATCTTCAAAATTTTCTGAACTCAGATTTTTCGGCCAATATTTCGTTTCATATATTTTTTTTATTTTACATTACTTTAAAAATAATACTGGTATAAAACAAAATATTTTGGTCTTTAAATTCCCAAATAAAAATAACGTAATTTTGAGCTCACGAACGGAAGCCGATGTTTGAATAAAATCTGGTTTTGACGCTAGCCAAAAATATAATAATTATTTTCATGTCCTTATTTTAGAACATTATTTTTTAGCATTAGATACTAAAGCGTTCACATGGCTATAATAAAACCATTTTATGACCTCTCTGGTTTCTCTTTTTCATACAAAAATAGCGTAACTTTGAATTCAATTTACTCAAAATTATAAATTTGGAGATGCTGGCGTATTATTTTTAAGATGTAATAACATAGGCTTGTAAATTTGCAACACAACAACATTATTTTGGCAATATTTTTAACATTTTGTGTCTGGTTTGTAAACTAATTCTTAAATCTAAAAATATACATAATTGCACTTGAAAAGAATCAGAATTTTCTTCCAGATTATGAAGCAAGTAACATTAAAAAAAAATGCCGAAACTTTTAATGCAATTGTGCTTAAAAATTTAGCACAAAAATTTGTTTAACAAAATAAAATTATTAAAGCCTTTAATTTTTGCTAATTAAAAGAAGTTCTGCTATATTCCAAAATTTTTCCAGATTAAATTGATTTTATTCAATTAAATTAACCAATGGACAAAGATCTTTTCAATTCAAATTCAATTTCAAATCAATTATTATAGCAATCAACATTTTAAAACTTTAAAACACATTTGAAAAGATTTTCTTTTTTCTTCTATTCAAAAATAAAAAACTAGAAGTCCAAAATTTTTTAAAGATTTCTAAATTTTATTTTTAAAAATTTTTTCCTCTTTTCAATTCTTAAATAAAAAAAACAGAAGAAAATCTACATTTTTAAATCTTTATTTTCTACAATAAAAAATCAAATAATAATAAAAATGTCTAATGTCCTTTTTTTTTATATTTTTCAATTCTTATTCTTGTCTTTGCCACTTTGTCCATAAGTTTCATTGCAAAACTGAAAATATCAAGTGAAAAAAGAGAGAACAAATGTTTTTTTTTTTTAAATTTTGTACAAAATATCATCCTCTTCTTTCCTTAACGTACCCAAGTTTCATTTCAATTTAAAATGAACGTCTATTTAGAGCAAAGAAACAGAAAAAATGTAAAGGATTCTTTCGGTATTTCTAATAGCTAATATAAAATGATTTCAAATTGGCTATATTTTTTGTATGTATTTTGATTTTAATACATACAAACAAAACACGCAATGCATATTATGTGTACAAAAAAAAGAAAGGACATCAGTTTAAGTTTTAATATTGAAAAATTCTAATAAAAATTTATAAAGGATTTTTCTCTACCATAATGATATAGAAATAAAAAATCTAAAATTTTAGAATTGACTCGAATAAAGAAAATTTAAAAATACGATTCGAAATTCATTAGTATGGGTGAAAAATTTTGAGCAGAATGTGTACAATTTCTTAATGTACTCAGTCACTTTATTCATATTGGGTTCGGAAAAATTAAAGAGTTGGACCGGTTGCTACCAAAATACCGGTTTTTATCAAATGAAACCGGTTTGATTTAAAAGAAAATTTGTATTGGAATCAGTGAACGTTTTCCTACCAAAAAAAAAATTGTCTCGGTTTTGTTTTTACCATTCCTCATTAAATTAATATTAAAGACGAAAAGAGTTTTGAAATCACTAATGCGAAAAAATGACAATTATTTTACAAAATTAATGATTTTCCACTGCATCATAATATTTTAATTAAAATTCAGAATTCCCTCATAGCTTTATATTTATTCTAACATTACGATTACTTCATCACCAGAAAGTGGGAAAGGAAAATCTAAAATCTTCCATTTCAAAATTAAAAGCAAGACAAAACCCCTACTCTCCAAAGCCGTTGTACAGTTTTAAAACTGATTTGAAACTGATCAAGAGCCCCTATAATTAATTCATTTTCATCAGGACGAGTATTGTATTTTATACAGAACTTCCCATAGTATTCTAAAAATATCCTTAAATTTCACTTTTAAAAAAAAAATTAATTATTTAATTTAAAATAAAAGAATTGAAAATGGCTAATCTTTTATAATATTCTAACTTACAAACTTAAATTACAAGAGTGGCACAAGGCGCTTGTGTACAATTATAATAGAGTAACAAAATGAGAGAAAAGAAAATTAAAACAAAAATCGCATATACACAAGATTTTACTTCGAATTTAACATTCCAAGAAAAAGAAAACGACAAAAACAAGATGATGTTGGTTTCCTTATGTTTGGAGGAAATGGTCAGCCATTAATCGCAATCTAAATTGCATCAACTTTGTTATAATAGAAAAAAAGAAAATCTTATTTCTCCTTCTTCTTCCTCTTCTTCTTCTTCTTACATACAGAAATCTAATGTAAAATTTTTAAAATTTCTAGTGTATTTTATTTGTTCATGTGCACATACAATAATTGTGTGAACAAGTTTTTAAGATTTTTTATTTTTCTGCTCTCTTTGTTAGCAATTTGAAATTCCATTTCTTGCTTTCATAGAACAAACTATATACACAAAAACACACACATATGATAAATTTATACAACACATTATTTATGTATGAACATACATACGTACGTATATACCATACATAATTCAGTAGGTAGCTTATTGTTCATTTGTGACATTGATATAGAACCGCAATGGGATAATACGGAGAGTATACAGAGAACATTCATTTTCTATTCTTAAAAGTGCAATAATTCAAAGTGAAAGATTTTCTTATTTTGTTCTCTTTTTTGCTTTTTCACTTCTCATTCTCATTCTCGAATAGTTTTACATTTTTTTTTTTTTTTGTGCTACTCTACTTTAATTTTCATTTCCTGTTCAAATGTAAAAATCTATTTAAAAAAATAAAAATGAAGGAATTTGTAGAGAATGGGTTCTTTTTCCTCTCTTACGTTTTTTGTTTTTTTGCTCTTTTCAAAATTAAGACAAACTTTTTTTCATTTTTAAATAAAAAATTATTTTTATCTTGCATTTTTTTTTTTGTTCCTGTTGTAAGGAAAATGAAAATTTATATTATCCTTTTTGTTAAAAGCAATTTTAATTTATACTTTTAAAGAAAAAAAAATTAGAAAAAGTAGAGAATAATTTAGAAGGAAAAAAAACAAGAATTTTAACAAAAAATTATTAAAAATTCTAGTGATAAGAAAATTTTCTTATAATTCTTTCATTCTTCATTCTATTTTTTTATTGTATGTGATAAAATTGCATATATTACGGCGTAATTAACAATTTTAAATTATTTCTGCATGTAAAATAGAAAAAATGTGCTGTTTTCATACCAAAAATGTTGGAATTTAAAAAAAAAAACAAAAACCAATACAGAAAATTAATTTTAATTGAATATTTAATCTTTATTTGCCGAAGATGTGTGAATTTTGTCAAAATTAGACATTTAATCTTTATCATCAAAATTAGGACCCCTTATGATTTTCACTTAGATTTTGTAACATAAAGTTAATTAAGAGCAGATATTTGACAGTGGTTCTAGGACTGATACTCTGTTAGTGATTGGTACTGATCAAAGTGTTTCGATGTCCGAGTATACTTGTAATAAAGAATAAACTAATGTTCAGAGCAGAAGAAGTAAAATATTCTAAAATAATTGAAAAGTAATAATGGAATAATAATGTAAAAATTTGGAAAAATAAAATTCCACTACCAGAACCACTACTCATTCTGTAACAACAAAAAATATACAAATTGGCAATTAATTTTATTGAAAATATTGGAGTGATCGGTTATTTTTTAATAAAATAATTGTGCTGTGGCCTG